ATCTTTGTTATTCAGCTTTAGTAATTCACATGCATCTAAGAATCTGTCCAGTTCTTCTGTGTTTTCTATCTTATTAGAATATAGATTCTCAAAGTAGGTATTCATGGTCTTCTGGATTTCTGCAGGGTCTGTTGTGATTTCACCCTTTTCATTCCTAATTGAATGAATTTGAGTCCTTTTGTTTTCTTGAGATGAAGGTCACTAACGGTTTGTCAATTTTATTTAATTTTTCAAAGAAAAATTGATTCATTGATCCTTTGTATTGTTTTCTTAATCTCAATTGCATTAATTTCTGTTCTGACCTTTATAATTTCCTCCCTCATTTGAGCTTTTGCCTTGACTTGTCCTTCTTTTTCTGGAAGCTTGAGGTTCAACATCAGGCTATTTATTTGAGCTCAGTCTATTTTTCTAATATGGGAATTCAACACTGTAAATTTCCCTTTTATTTTATCTATTTATTTATTTATTTTTGGTAGCAAGGATTGAACTTGGGGCCTTGCGCTTATGATGAAGGTGGTGGAACCATTGAGCTAAATCCCCAGCCTTATAAATTTCCCTTTTAGGACTGCTTTCATTGTGTCCCATAGATGCAGTATGTTGTTTTGGCATTATCATTTTATCATAGAAACTCTAATTTCTTCTTTAATTTCATCTGTAACCCACTGGTTGTTGAGGAGGGTACTATTAAATTTCCATGTGTTTATGCAGTTTTTTGTGGTTTCTTTTGTGATTGATTTCCAATTTCATTGAACTATGCTCTGATAATATGCATGGAATAATTTCAATTCCTTTGCACTTAAGCATATTCTATGAGCTAGTACATAACCTACTTTGTAGAATATCCCTCATGCCACTGAGAAGAATTTGTATTTTACACTTGATCTTAGCCAAAAGGCCGAAAAGTGATAAGAATTTTTATTTTGATGCTGTGGCATGGAACACTCTTCTACTTACTAAGTTCATTTGTTCAAAAGTTTGGTTCAGTTCTGATATTTCTTTGTTGATTTTTTGTCTAGTTAATCTATTTGTGACAGGGGGTATTGAGGTTCCCCATTACAGTTGTATTAGTGCTTATTTGATTTTTCATGTCTATTAATTTTTAAATACAATTTGGTGTCATGAAAAGACAAGAATATACAATTTTAAAAAAGAAAGAACAGAAAAAATGTGTGATTTCAAGCCTGTGGTTATCTTCTGGGATCTACAGTTCTGTGGTAGTGTCCACTTCAGGGCTATCTCTGCTATTGCTGGTAGATAAAGGAGGCAGACAGAGCCCCAATCCATTCTGTGTGATCCCAGTAAGCCTGCAGTAGGATTAGGGTGGGGAACTGATTCAACTCTGCAGAAGTTCAGGCTAATCCTGGTCTCTGTGAGTCTGTGACATGAGTTGTTCATACCATGATACTATGGGAGTTTCCTACCAGCTTGAGCTCAGTTCCATGATTCTGGGCACCTCCCAGGGATGCACTTTACCCAAACACTGGGAACCCTGAGATGAAACAAACTCAGGGCTACTCTGAGTCCTGGGTTCAGCTGGTCCCAGCCAAAATGCAGCCAGTTAATCACTCCTGCCTGGGAGCATTTGAACTTGGATCACTCACCAGCTGCTGCAGCTTACAGCATCCACTGCTCCACTCCACTAGTGCATGTCTCCATGGAGGCCTCCAGATTACCCTGCCATCACCACACCTGTAGGCTTGAGGCTCTTCTTTTACACAGTGAACCAGAAGTCAGGGAGAATGCAGTTTGACACTTCCCTCTTCTTTGCCTTGAAGTCTGTCCCCTCGCTCTCCCTGTGGGTTTTGGTTTTCCCACAAGAAATTTCCTGGGTCTCAGGGATCCATCTTCCTCCTTCTTCTCTTCCCCAAATTGCTATATGCCATTGTCTGATCTCCCAATCTCAGAGAGGCTGGTTTGCCACTGCTCAATGCTTCATCATAATCTTGAAGTGCAGAATTTCAGATTTATCAAGTATCCCAAAGCAAGATTTGAAGGGGTTTTAAGCAAGTGATATAATCAAATTTCCATTTTTAAAAAGTTACTCCATCTGGCTGGGGTATGGAGAATGAAAAGTGGTCAAGTGTAGATATAGAACAATGAAAGTATTTCAGTGGACTGGGAGGATAGATAACTGAAGTCAAGTCAGAGGTGGAGATGGACTTCTGGATCCACTGGAGAGGGAAGACATCTTAGTTACTTTCTCATTGCTGAGACAAAATACCCAATATCCAAAGTGAAAGGAGGAAAGATTTATTTGGTTCACAGTTTGTAGAAGTTTCAGTCCATAATCAGTTGGCTCCAACGCATGATCACATGGCAGAAAGCATGGCAGTGGAGAAACTGTTCACTGCACAAGATAGTAAAGCAAGCAGGGGACAACCACAGTTCTTTCTATCTTTTGTATCTTATCTAGGCTACTTAGGGCAGGTAGTATTCATACCCTTAATCCTAGTGCCCTTGGTCCTAGCATTGAACCATGAATCAATCCTGGCATCACACTCTAGATCCAGCCACCTCTGAAAAAGCCCCACATATGTCTGCATGAGATTTGGGAGGGAGGTCTAGATACAAGCCATAACACCAGTTATAAGTGGTAGCTAATATTCTCATTTTGCAGTGTTGACATAAAGAGATGAGATAATGCAAATAAGTACTAGATAGTATTAAATACTCAAAGAATGTTACTAAAGAAAGTGTTCTTGTTGTTCTAATAAACAATATATTGATTTAAACATTTTACTTTTATTCAGATTAGGTTAACCTGGATAGTTTCTCAGTATGGGGAAGCCTAGCAGTGAGAGATGGGTGATAAAGGCCAGTGAACATTGCTGGAGGAAGAGATGAGGTAGAAAGAACATCTAAGGGAGAGGTGCAACCCACATTAGAGAGACAGAATGTAATCAGCAATTCGACATTCAGGACAGATAGTGCAGCAGACTGCATAGCTCCTGAGAAAAATAGGGCAGTGACGTTGGGTGACAAAACCCCACTGCTATAATTTTAACCTAAGGGACAACCAAGAAATGGGGACATGAGTTTGAGCCCATGTAAAGGTAACATGAGCTTTTTGTGGGCACCATACCTACTAGTCCTTCAATCGCCCATGCACTCATTCATTTTCTAATATATTCAACAAGTATTCACTGAGTGCCAGGCAGTAGGGACACAGAAGCTGGTAAAGGGACAGACATAGCATGTGGTAGAGTTTGATATGGAGGGAGGGGCAGGAAAAGCTAGTCACATGTGTGGGTTCAGATAAATGCTATGATCAAAATGAAGCAAGGGCCTCAGCAAGTGAAGACATTAGTGCACAAGACTAGGCGAGGGCACATTCCCAGACAGCAGCATTCAGGGAGAGCTTTGCTGCACTGTCATTCTGTGCCTCACTTTCCCATCCTCCAAAACTTAAGGAAATGAGAAGGAAAAGTTTCTATTGCACCCAGGAAGATAATGTATTTACTAATTCAATGTATTATTTCCTGGGGCTACTGTAACAAATGCCATAAATGAGGTGGCTTAGGACAACAGAAATATATTATACTTCTAGAGGCAAAAAGTCCAATACCCACAGGGCCATATTCCTTTGGAGTCTAATGGGGAGAACTGTTTTTTGCCTCTTCCACTGGTGGCTGCCTCTGCTTTTCTGGCCATCTTACCTGAATCCTTACCTCTGTCTTCTTTTCATCTATCCCTTACAAGGCCACTTGTCTTTGGATTTGGGGCCCACCTGGATAATCTAGGATGGCCTCACCGAAAGATCTTTAATTGGAATATGTGGGCAAAGACTCTGTCCATTAGGTTCTGGCCATTAGGACATGGACATATCTTTTTGGTGGGAGAGGGCTACCACTCAATCCATTATACCCAAGAAAGTATCTTGTTTTCCTTTGTCTTTGTTATGGACTTTCCCACATTATTCATCTTTTTGTTTTGCAAGTTGGAGTGTTGTCTTTTAGAAGCGTGTGTGCCTGGACGTGTAGTCACTGTTGTTGTTGCTGCTGCTTGGAGTCAGTAAATGCATAGAATTCAGCAGGGCAGATGAGTAAAACTTATCTGAGGTAGAGAGGGTCACATGGCCGCAGCCATGATGGTGGCCTGAGAACAATGGGATGCTGACATCTATCTTGGAGTTGTGATTGCTAAATAGATTAAATTTCTGGAATGATTATTAACACTCTGTTGGTCAAATGTCATATAGATAAATGTAAACAATATTAATAATCTGAAAAATTGAAATAGTCTTTTATTTGTTCCCTTTCCTAACCTTACCATACATAGCTAAGTTGCCTTTCTTATTCACACTTTCACCCCCACATTTTGTACTTTTTATAGTTTAAGTCTTTATTGTGGTATAACATATGTGCAAAAGGTGCAAAAGCTTCAAGCTCAGGTATCAGTCATACACTATTAATCTTTACATATATGTGCACCCAGGTAGCCACCATGGAAATCAAGTACCCAGAAGGCTCCTCACACTGCTTCCCAGTTAGTTGCCTCCTTCTCCAAACCAACTACACTTCTGAGCCATATCACTATAGACTAATTGTTCATTTAACTTCTTATAAAACAACATAGTATGCTGTTACATTTTTGAATCTCGAAAATCCCACAAAGACCATGAGATGAAGGCTTAGTTGCCAGCCTGTGACACTTTAGGAAGGTAGTGAAGTTTTTAGGAGATGGAGTAGGGCTCAGTGGAAAAGATTAGGTCACTGGGGCCCCTGAGGAGGCTGTTGGAGCTCTGGCTCCTTGCTCTCTCTTTTTGGTTCCCAGTCTCTGTGAGGTGGACAGGCCTCCTCACCATCCATTCTCTGCTGTGATGTTCTGCTTTGCTACAGGCCTGAAGGCAGCAGAACCAAGCAGCTGTGCCACAAAATCTCTGACACTGTAAGCCAAAATAAACCTTTCTGCCTTTTCAGTTGTTTAACTCAGGAATTTTGTCACAATGACAGATAGTGGACTAATACATATTTTTTTTTAACGGTTCTTTTTTTTTTCAGTATTATGTCTGGGAGATTCATCCAAGCTCTTCTGGGGATCTGTATGTAAGTCCTTTCACTCCTGTATATTATTCTACTATATGATATATCATGATTTATCTAGTCATGTAGTTTGTGTGGTTTCATTTCTGAGCTATCAGGAGTAAAACTCCTCTGGATCTACTTTCGCATGTCTTTCAGTGGGAGAGGCGCTGTTGTGCCACTTCTCATGTATACTATCCCAGAGTCTTCCTAAGTAGCTCTTTCAGTTTTCATTATAGCTGCTTCATGTTCTCACCACTTCCATACTGTCAGGCTTTTAAATCTGAACTATTCTGGTGGGTACACAGTAGTATTTCATTGTAACTTGTTTTGAGGCAGAGTATTGTTTATGTAGCTCAGGCTGGCCATAAAAATCACTATGTATCTTTTGATGGGGGAGTGTTCCATTCAATCCAGCTATACTCCTGGCTATCTTTCTGAAAGAGTTAAAGAGTTAAAGCGAGGCCAGGTATTTGGCTCAGTGGTGCCACCGCCTGCCTCACAAAAGCAAGGGCCCGAGTTCAATCCCTCATACCAAAAAGAAAAAAAAAAAGAGTTAAAGTGATACATTCATATAGCAGAACTCATAATGGCTAAATATTGGAAGCAGTCTATTTATTAATTAATAAATGAATAAAGAAATGTGGTATATATACATAATGGAATATTATTATGGTATATATACATATCTGTATTATGAAGTACAGCCATAAAAAGGAAAAATTTTAGTCCTTTGAAGGAAAATTTCATATTTTGAGATGATAATCTAAGCAAAATAAATTAGAAAGAAATTTAAATATTGCATAGTTTATCATATAAGAGAAACACAAAATATAAATACTTTAAAGAGTTAAATAAAAGATAGGTTATAGGAAACAGGAGGTAGACTTTTGCAGATGGGAAGGGGAACTAGGGATTCAGGGAGAGGGAAAGGAGGAAGGGAGAGGAAAGGGGAAATAAAAAGGACTAAGACATGATATGTATATGCACCAGCTCCCCACAATGAATGTATTCATTGTGTATCACAAACATGTGCTAATTAAAATAAATTCACTGTGTAGCCTAAGCTGGCCTAGAAGTCATGGTCCTCCTGCCTCAGCCTCTAAGTTCTGGGATTATTGGTGTATGCTACCAAGTCAGGCTTTTCACTGTGGTGATAAGTGGTATTTCCCTAAGACTAGTGGTGAGCACTGTGTCAAACACTTATGCACTATTTGGGCATCCTCTTTTATCAAGTGCCCGTTTGGGGTTGTCTTTTTCCTTTAGATTTACAGGGGCTCTTTTTACATTGTAAATACAAGTTTTCTCTGTGGAGTAATATTGTCCCAGTCTGTAACTTGTGTTTTTATTCTCTTAATTATACATTTTACAGGTTAGTGACATTTTTCTATAAAGAGGCAAAGAGTAAATATTTTAGGCCTTTTAGGTCAGATAGTCTCTTCCAACTACTTGACTATGCCATTGTGGTACAAAGGCAGTAAGAAAAGCATTGTTAAGCTGTTAAGTGAGTAGGTTTAACTGTGGCCAATTACCTGTATCTATGGACATTGCAATTTGAACATCACATACATTTCACATACCTTGAAATAGTTTTCTTTTGATTTTTTCAACCATGTAGAAATGTAAAAACTATTCTTAGCTTATGAGCTATACAAAGACACAGACTGTATTTGGTTCAGAGTCCATATATTGGCAAGCTCTGGTACATTTTTACACTTGATCTTAGCCAAAAGGTCAAGAAGTGGTTCTCTGGTATAATTTTACAAGTTATTAATTTTAATGAATTCCAATTTATTAATCTCTTCTTTTCATCAATGCTTTTTATTCCTATATAAGAAATCTCTACCTATTGCAAAGTCATGAATATATTCTCCCTCCACTAGATTCTAATGGGTTTATTTTATCACTTGTCTTTGTCTATGATCCACCTGCAATTAAGGTTTGTGTATGATGTGAAGCAGAGGTTTTATACTTTTGTTTTTGTTGTACTCGATGTTGTGTTTGTGTGTGTGTGTGTGTGTGTTACTGGGAACAAAACCTAGGTCCTGGCACATGCTAAGCAAGTGCTGTACCACTGAGTGATTTCTCCTCATCCCATTTTACTTTATTTTGAGACAGTGTCCCACTAAGTTACCCAGGTTGGCCTTCAACTTGTGATTCTCCTGTCTCAGACTTCCAAGTAGCTCAGATTACAAATGTGCACCACACTATCCTTCTCCTTTTTGAGCGTCAGTATACAACTCTGATTTATCTGCTCCACCTGACACCTGTATTAAACTCACAAATCTCTTCTAGTCATTTCCTCAACCACTCCTTTGTGAAACCTTATGATGGACCATGCTAAGCATATGTTTTGGTTTGCATCTGAAGAAAATTATAGTCCTTTTAAAGAAAAACAGTTAAACCTTTATGATAAAATATAATCAGTGACATGAAAATACAAGTTTTTGCTTAAATATTTTTGCCCTTACTAAAAATGAGTTATTTGTTTTGTTTTTGTTTTTGTTTTTGTTTTTTTTGAGTCAGGATCTCACTATGTAGTTGAGACTGACCTGGAATTCACTGTGCAGCCCAGGCTGGTCTTGAACTCACAGTGATCCTCCTGCCTCAGCCTCCTGAGTGCTGGGATTACAGGCATGTGCCACCATGACCAGTTTAAAAATGCGTTATTGTGCTGGGGATTTAGCTCAGTGGCACCTTGTCTGCCTCACTATTGTAATAAAAGAGTAATAATAATAATATAATAATAATAATAACACCAAAATGAGTTACTTGTTAAATGGAAAAAGAAATCATAACTTTTAATTCAGTTATCTCTAGGACCTAACATGAATCTTAGCATAGAAAAGGTTCTATGAAAAGTTGATGAATGATTAAATGAGGAATAAATGCACGCACACATATATAATGAAAAAATATATAACTATGAATGCAATGAAAGTGTATTTAGTATGTGTATACATATGAATTAATTGAATAAATAAATATGTGTATAGAGTCACAAAACTAAAAAAAAAACTTTTGCAATCAGTAATCTTACTCCTACATAGCTTAGAGGACAAAGTTTGTCAGCCTTAATTAATGATTAAAATCTTGATGTCCGTAATCAGATTACCTGGGTTCAATTCTGGGCCCCATAACTTCGCAGCTGAAAAATCTTCAATCAGCTTCTTAACTTCCCAGGCTCCAGGTACCACAGCCACAGAAGGGGGAACCTTCCTTATCCACTGTTCAAAATACTAAATCCTTGAGGGTCCATGAGGACTCTAGGTTTTGCTTACTCCTGTGCCCTTAGCTCCTAGAATATTTGAAACATAGTAGAAGCTCAATAAGGATCTATTGAGTGAATTACCTATATGTAGATCATTAAAATCTAGTAAGTGTTGGGTATTATCTTACTCATGATAAAAGAATTATGATGCTCATTCCAGCATCCCTGTCCCCCAGTCACAGTACTCTCAGGAGCCAGAGTACTTTTCTACAGTGACACAAGGTGGCAGTATTAGTCCCCTTATGAGTTACATGAATTGTTTCACTAGTTTGAAAGAAACGTTCTCTGCAGCGTCTTTACTTGGAAATTTCTCCCGCAACTCTAGATTCTGATTTTTTGCTTTAACGCACCATGCAAACTATCTGAGTTATCATAAGGTCAGCTCTTGGCCACCCTGCTTTGCAGCTAAAAGTCTGCCTTCTGGTAGGAAGGTGTAAAGTTGACCTCTCTACTACTACTTACTTCTCTGTGCCTAGTAACACTGCTGCTTTGTATTTCAGCCCTCCTTTTGTATTAGTTCTCTCTTCAATATTCTTATAGCTCTCTTTGGTCTTTTTGTAATAAACCACCTTCACACATTAGAAACCCAAAGTTGTTTCAGAGACATAAGGTGCAACAATGTTGCTCCCTTCCAATCCCTAAGCAAGGACAAAGCAAAACAACAACAAAAAAACCTCTGGGGTTCTCAGTGAGGGTAATTCTACAGTGGCTCTGAGCAGCTCTGTGAATTCATTGGGCCCTCAACACCTGGTGAGCAGCTCGGTGGTAGTGGAGGAGTGTGTGGCATGAAAAGGGATCTTGCTTTAGAATGAACATGGCTGCTTCTAGCTGTCACCCCGGCACATCTCTTATCTCTTCCAGACTGTATTTCTAAAATGAGTATAATAATCTCTGCGCTACCTGGTTGGAGTTGAGATCAGTGAATGGAAATGGCATTATAAACTGTAAAGGGTATATGCTGTTTACAAAATGTGAAGCATTTCTACTCTCTACAGGGCATGAGCTAATGTTAGAATCATTGCTCTTTTATCTTCAGGGGAAAACCAGTTCCATCCAGTTTAAATGGGCTTGCCTCCATTCTCTCATCTGTAAAATGGGAATAATGATAGCAACTCCACCTATTTCAGTGAGCTGAGACAAAAAAAAAAATAGATGTGAAAGTACTTTTTAAATGAAGGTACTCTCATTTTTACAAGATTGTTAAATTTAAGCAAATGACTTCCTGACTTCACAAACAATCCTGAGGAAAACAATTATAACTAAATTGTCCTCAAAGTCAGCATCTTTGATTTACTGCTTGCAGAAAATTCAAGAAATTGAATATTTAAAAGAGATAGGAATAGGATTGGGGCTATAGCTCAATGGTAGAGCACTTACCTAGCATGTGAGAGGCCCTGGGGTCAGTCTCAGCACTACAAATATATTAGAAAAATTTAAAAAATAAAAAGGATAGAGATGCTGAAGATGATAATTGCATTTAGGAAAGGATAAATAAAATTAAATGATAAATTTGAAGTTGATACTTGTTAAATGCTTTTTGAATATCTGTATTTGTGTTAGGTGTATTGTAGAAACAGTGTTCATTTGATGCTTTGGTTATTATTTTTTGTTTTTGCAGTGCTGGGGACAGACCAGGGCCTCATACATGAAGGCAAGTTTTCCATCCCTGAGCTAGAGCAAACCTCTTCAATGACCACTTAAAATGTTAACATTCAACTAACCTATCATATACTAGGTATTTTAAGTATATTATTTCATTTTACAATTTTTTAGGCTTCCCCAGAACCAAAGAAAAATGTGAGCTCTGTTTAAAACTTGAGATAATTGAGGTTACTCAGCTTGTCTCAGGTGTAATAGAAGACCCAGGACTTTCTTAACTCCAAATCCCTGCTCCTTCTGGCTTTTTTCTCAGGAGGGTTACTGTGGGCTTCTGCATTTGGTGGTAGGATTAACTAATAATCTTAAAGTAGCAAGCCAGCAAGCTTTAGTTAGTAAATACCAGAGGTGAAATGTTATAATTCTGAAGAACCTGGATAAACAGGTACTTCTTTAATTGTAAGGGCTTAAAATATTTGGGCACTGACTTTTTGTGTATACAATTTCATGTAGAGATTCAACTAATCTTCCCTTGATTATTTCCAGAGTCAGATCATACCTTTAAAAAATAAAAAATGATTAATTATTAGATGTTAGGAGTTAAAAAGAAAAAACATTACAAGGTAAAAAGAGTTCTTAGAAGTAAAGGCCATTTAAATCTCTTGGGAGGTATCAGTTATTTGAGAATGATGTGCTGTTGTTGCTACACATAATAAGTTAATCTTAAAAGGCATTTATCCCTGCTGATGTAAAAGTTTTTACTCTGACTAGTTCAGTGAACTGCATGTCATTTTCATGTATGATTTTGGTAAGCTGTGTTTACCAGGAATTTTAATTACTTAATTACTTTGAAATGACACCATCCTAAACTATCAAGTCTGTTTCACTGCATTTCACTTTTTGGTAAGAGTATTTGACTTTAAGATTTAAAGCCAAGCAGCAGAAGAAAAGAAGAATGAAAAAAGAAAAAAAGAATTAACGCCAAGAGGCAGAAAAAGAAAAAACGAACTAAGGCCAAGAAGCCTTCAAATTTATATATCTTGTTAGGCTGTTTATTTCTGATTATTTAAAAGTGTGATATTGACACTATACTTTCTGGCTTATTCAACCCAGCTGTAAAGAGTATTTGTAGCAGTCTGTTCCCTTGAAGATATAGCCAAATAAAATATTTGTTAGAGTAGATCTGTATGGAAGAATTAACACTATCTCAGTTATGAAAAAATAGCCATCAGAGCTTATAAATGGAAGTATAAAACTCTTACTTAAACATTCATTACCGATCCCCATCTACTTTTGCAATCATAGATTTTTATCTTTCTTAATAAGTAGTTAGTTTTAATTGGAGAAACTTAAAGGAAAATGGGTTTTTAGTATTTAATCTAAACTGGCTATTTTAACCATCAACTTTTGAAGAGGCCAACAATCATAGGTGAGTTATACTATTTTAAAAGTCACCTCACAGATAAGGAAAAGCTGATAGGAAGTGCAGAGGGAGATGTCTAAAATTCATTTAGCTACCATTTCTTTGGCTTTGGATTCTACCACTCTTTCTTGAGGTATCAAAGTCAAGCCTCCCCTACAAACAGGAGTTAACAATCTTTGAGAGACAAATTATGGTCACTTGTAAAAAGCAGAATAAGACATGGCGATGATATAGGGCATATGATATAGGACTTCCAAATAGTGTAAGAGAAATATTATAACTCCCAACCTCCTAGATGTCTGAAATGCTGAGTTCATGTTCTCTAAAATTAAAGAATGAATTCTAGGAACAAAAGAGGTTAAGAGTAGGAAGAATTTGAGAAAAAGATAACTTCTGTCTAAGAAAGACAGAAGGGGGTCTGGAAAGTGGGTAGCCCGCCAACCCCACTACTTCTCAAGGGTGTTTGATTGAGCAAAGCCACCAGGTGAGACAAGTTCAAGGTGGGACAAAACTATAGTCAACTAAATATACTCACTTAGGTAATGACCCAGCTGTCATCCCCTAAGAGTACAAGATTAGTCGCTTAGGCAATATTGATTAAATGATCAAATGGAATGATCCGGGAAGGAATGGGTTAGGGAGGTTTTGGTCCTCACTGGAGGTGTTTGATGCCTATTTAGAACATCAGTCACTACTGTTTATCCTAGGGGAAGTATGTGAGTGTGGTAGTTCCTCTTTTTGTATCCCAGCCTCTAGTAAATGGGCCTCAATTGTCTTCTGTATTGACTCCCTTTCTAACTGTCTATAACATATCCAACTAACTTAGCTGTGTACAGTAGTGTCAGATGACCAACATGCATGGTCCTCTGAGAGACATTGTTGCTTAGGGACTTTTGGAGCCCTAGGAGAGAAAGCTTGCAGTTACCTTGGCTGGAATTCCAAAGACTTGGTCAGGAATTTCAAGGATGATTATAATTACAAGGGTTGGATGGGCAAGGAAAAGGCACTGGAACCCTGGATTCCTTTTAGCTTTGTTAGTTACAAGATCAGCCTTGCACTGTTTCTATTTTAATATGGAAAGTAATCTAAGAAATTTGGTTCTTTAGTTTCGCTGGAACGTACCTGCTCCTGCTAGGAAGGTGCTGTATCTGATAGGCAGCCGGACACTTATGCTCCAAAACTGCCTGGAGATGAAGTCACCTTTCTTCCAGGAGAAAACCGTGTTGCCTTTGCTTGATGGTCCCACTTCTTGTTAACCAGTCCCAGATGACTGGTTTTTGCTGACTAGAATACCAAATCAGGCCGAGGTAAGCGTTAGGAGAGTGTCATAAACAAAGTGTTGAGGACAAAGTTAATTCTGTGCAGGGATCAAGAAAGGGCAGACAGAATGTGACCTTTCCGAGGAAGCTGGAGCAGGAATAGCATTTTGCTAGCTAGGGGAGGGGTGGGAAGGGTGTGCACTAGGCACAGGGTAGGAGAGCAGGGGTGTGGGGTGTGAGAAGACTGTTCAGGAAAGGGTAAGCAGTTAATTGAGGGCTGGATATAAGGTTACTGAACCCGGAACAAGTCATTGTAATATGACCCATACCCCGTATCAACAAACTACATTTTTCTGGAAAAAGACATTTGGAAGAATTGTCCAGTTACTGTCCACTGTCTGCCCAGCTCCATGGTAGGGGCATTGGAAGGCCCTTGCCCTAGAAGTGCCCGTTCCTTATCTGGAAAATAAATAAAACAAAACAAATTTTTAAAATGTGACAGTCTCCAAAGAAGTACATTCAGTGGCTTGAACCTCGAGACCCAAAACAACCAACGGTGGGGTTGGGGTTGCACATATCTCCCAGAGGTCAGCTGGGGTAGCAGAGGGTTGGAGGGAGGGCTTGGGATTCCTGCGTCCAGCATCGGAGACGGAAGTCACACTACTTCCAACAGAGCACTTCCTCTGTGCCAGGCACAGTTCTATAGGGGTCAAAGAATTAAACCTCTGCAGAAAAACAGCTGACATCTCTAAATTGACGCGGGCCCTTACTCAGACCCAGGGGACCTGTCTCTAGGGCCCCACAGTCCCATTCGCTTCAGTATCTTATGACTCTAGCAAAGAACCCGTGAGGTGTACTTAGATCTTAACATAACTGACCGGTTCCCCTTAAAACTTGAATTTCCAGAATAATTCAACTCAAAACAAAATAAAGATTCGTAAGCTCCAAATTTGTAAATGAGGAAAGAAGCATGGTGGTATAACACTCAACTTCTACCTGACCCAAGGAGGGCCAGAAAATGTTTCTTTTATTTAAAAACATAATTTTTCCTTTCGTGACAATTTGGTCTTTCTGAACGCTAGGGGCTCCCGGATTCTCCGGTTCGAGAATAACTTTTCCTTTTAGGAGTTTTTTTTTTTTTTTTTTTTGGAAGGGGGTGGGGGAAATGTGGCCTTAATTATCCTACGTTTTAGGCAGCTTAAGAAAGGGGCTGTACTTTCGGAATCTCCTCCGAGCCAAGGAAGGAGGGCCCTCTCTCTCTCTCTCTCTCTCTCTCCTTTGCTCTTTTTAAAGGAGCTCGTGAAATAAAAGTGCGGAAAACAAACCGAGGATCTCAGCGGCAGCAGGAGGAGGAGGAGGCGGAGGTGGAGGCGTAGCTGGAGTCGGGCCGGCGCTGCGGGGCTGCAGAGTTCCCTGCTGCTCCCATTCATTAAGCGACCAGCGTCGGAGGAAGGTGGCCGGGACCCCGCGTTGCCCACTCGCTCTCGCGGACAGACGCCCGCCAGCCCCTCGCGTCCCGGGCAGCAGCGCGCCGCAAAAGTTTCTGCTCGGGGTCCGAAGCTCTTCCCCTTGGACTTTCGAACGATCTGGGGTGGAGAGAGGAGAGAGGCGCCCAGCGGGGAGCAGAAGACAGCGCCGGCTGCAGCTTTACGCAGGCGGCCGGAGTGTGCGGCTGCTGTCGCGGGCGGAGGCAAGGGCCGCAGCCAGCGCCATGCAAAACTACAAGTACGACAAGGCGATCGTGCCCGAGAGTAAGAACGGCGGCGGCCCAGCGCTCAG